TAAAAGGCAGAGAGACAATATCCAAGTCAGCAAAATCAGAAATGAAAAGGGGGAGATAACAGCAGACACTGAGGAAATCCAAAGAATCATTAGGTCTTACTTCAAAAGCCTGTACTCCACAAAATTTGAAAGTCTTAATGAAATGGACAATTTTCATGATAGATTCCACTTAACAAAGTTAAATCAAGATTAGTTAAACAAGGAATAGTCCTATAACCCCCTAAGAAAATAGAAGCAATCGTTAAAAGTCTCCCATTCAAAACAAAACAAAACAGGGCCAGATGGCTCAGATTTCTACCACATTTTCAAAGAAGAGCTAATACCAATACTCCTCAAACTGTTTTACAAAATAGAAACAAAAAGAATATTGTCAATCTCATTTTATTCAGCCACTTTAATCTTAATATCTAAACCACACAAAGACCGAACAAAGAAAAAGAATTTCAGGCCAATTTCCCTTATTAACATCAATAAAAGAAAAAAAAAATCAACAAAATACTTCCAAACTGAATCCAAAAACACATAAAAAATATCATCCACCATGATCAAGTAGGATTCATTGCAGGCATGCAGGGGTGGTTCAACAGAAGAAAATTCATCAATGTAATCCACCATATAAACAAACTGAAAGAAAAAAATCACATAATCATCTCATTAGATGCCAAAAACAGCATTTGACAAAAACCAGTACTCCTTCATGTTGTAAGTCCTAGAAAAATCAGGGCTACAAGGCACATACCTAAACACAATAAAGGCAATATATAGCAAGAGTGTAGCCAACATCAAATGAAAAAGAAACTTAAAGCAATCCCACTAAAATCAGGGACAAGACAGGGCTGCCCTCTCTCACTTTATCTCTTCAATAGAGGACTTGAAGTCCTAGCCAGAGCAATAAGATAACTAAATGAGATAAAAGGGATACAAAAGGAAAGAAGGAAGTCAACATATCGATATTTGCAAATGATATGATAGTATACATAAGTGGCCCCAAAACTTGCACCAGAGAACTCCTACAGCTGTAAACTTTTTCAGGAAATTGGCTGCATATAAAATTAATTGAAAAAAATCAATATTCTTTCTGTTTATAAAAGACAAATGGGCTGAAAAAGAAATTAGGGCAACAACACCCTTCACAATAGCCAAGAACAATATAAAGTATCTTGGTGTAACTATAACCAAGCAAGTGAAAGACCTGTGTAATAAGAACTTCTAGTCTCTGAAGAAAGAAATTGAAGAAGACATCAGAAGATGGAAAGATGTCCATGCTCATGGATTGGTAGGATTAACATAGTAAAAATGGCCATCTTACCAAAAGCAATCTATAGATTCAATGCAATTCCCATCAGAATGCCAACACAATTTTTTTTTTTTTTACAGACCTTGAAAGAACAATTCTAAGCTTCATATGGAAAAACAAAAAACCCAGAAGAGTTACAAACAATCCTATACAATATGTATCTGGAGGTATCTCTATCCCTTACTTCAAGCTGTAAGTGCAGAGCAATAGTAATACAAACTGCATGGAACTGGTATAGAAATAGACTGGTTGATCAATGAAATCAAATCAAAGACCCAGAAGTAAACCTACATACCTACAGACACTTGATTTTTGACAAAGGGGCCATACCATACAATGAAAAAAAGACAGCATCTTCAACAAATGGTGGTAGTCTAACTGGATGTCCACATGTAGAAAAATAGATCCTTATTTATCTCCCGACATAAAACTCAAGTCCAAGTAGATCAAAGACCTTTACATTAAACCAGACACAGTAAATCTGTTACTAGAAAAAGTGGGGAAGAGCATGGCACAAGAGACAACTTCCTGAACAGAACACCAGCAGCTCAGGCTCTAAGATCAACAATTAATAAATGTGACTTCTTGATACTGAAAAGCTTCTGTAAGGCAGAGGACATTGTTAATAGGACAAAATGGCAGTCTACAAATTGCGGAAAGATCTTTACCAATCCTACATCCAACAAAGAGCTAATAACCAAAATATATAAAGACCTCAAAAAATTAAACACCAACAAACAAAATGATATAATTAAAAATAGGGCGCAGAGTTAAACAGATAATTCTCAACAGAAGAATCTTAAGTGACCAAGAAGCACTTAAGGAAATGCTCAATGTCCTTAGTCATCAAGGAAATGCAAATCAAAATGACCCTGAGATTCCATCTCACACTGTCAGAATGGCTAAGATCAAAAACTCAAGTGACAGCACATGCCGTCAAGGATGTGGAGAAAGGGGAACACTCCTGCGGTGCTGGTGGGAGTACAAACTTGTACAACTACTTTGGAAATAAATCTGCCACTGTCTCAGAAAAATGGGAATAGTTCTACCTCAAGACTCAGCTATACCACTCCTGGGTATATACCCAAAAAATGCTTTACCATACAACAAGAACAATTGTTTAACTATGTTCATAGCAGCTATATTCATAATAGCCAGAATCTGGAAAAAACCTAGATGTCCCTAAATGTGGTGGTACATTCACACAACAGAATAAACTCATCTATTAAAAACAAGGAAATCGTGAAATTTGTAGGCAAATAGAACTAGAAAAGATCATCCTGAAAGAGGCAACTCAGACCCAGAATGACAAACATGGTATGTACTCACTTATAAGCAGATTTTAGCCATATAGTACAGGATAAATATACTACATTGCACAGACCCAAAGAAGATAAGTAACAAGGAGAACCTAAGGGAGGATGATTAAATCTCAGAGGAGAAACAGAATAGGAAAGGAAGTGCTGAGGAAAAGGAGGGTTGATATCTGCTGTAGGGAGATCAGGGAGGGTCAGGAGGATAGAGGGCCTGCAGAGAGAAGAGAAACAGTGGCCTGGAGCATCTCTGTGCCAGGCTGGAGACAGGGCAGCCTCCTGGGAAGATATAGGGGTGACTCTATTTGAGACCCCTACTAGTTCCCATCATGGAGACTAAAGAGGCTGCCCTCTAACCAGATAGGACTCCAGTAAAAGGAGGGGAACACCAACACACCCACAAGAACTTTACCAAAATTTACCTTCCCAACATGATTGTGCGGGATAAAGATAGAGCAGAGATTGAAAGTCCAACCAATGCCTTGCCCACCCTGACACCCATCCCATGGGAGAGAGCCAACCCTGACACTATTAATGATACTCTGCTATGCTTGTAGACAGGAACCTAGCACAAATGTCCTCTGAGGCTACACCCAGCAAAGAATTAAATCAGATGTTGAGACTCACAGCCAAACACTGGGCGAAGCATAAGGAGTCTGGTGGAAAAATGGGGAATGGATAGAAGGACCTAGAGGTGACAGGAGCTCCACAAGAAGACCAACAACTAACCAGTACCCAGAGAGGCTTGAGGAGACTGAAGCACCAACCAAGGACTGTTGGTAAAATGTTCTTTTGGAATGTATAATGTATATATATACCTTACCCTTGTTCAAATGCTGATTTCTCTCCCCCACTCTCTGGTTTCAATCCAGACATTGCATTGTGATACTTATTCTAAGTATCACCTGTCTCAACTTTGTGTAAACATGCCAAAATAAAACAACCAGCCACAATGTTGAGCAATGGAGAGGAAAGGAGTAGGAGGGAGATGGGAGGAATCAGAGGACAGGAAGGAGTGGGAGGCAGAGGAGGAGAAGAGGAGAGAGCTGGAGGAGAGGTCTTGAAAAGATGTGGAGAATGAACTGGACCTAAGATTTCACAAAAAAGCAAGTATAATTGCTTTTTTAATCTAAATGTTAGGAAACTATGAGAGCTTGGAGGTTTAGGATAGAGTAACTATTGCGTAGCATTGTGTTCTAGGTTAACTAAATAAATCCCAGTCTCTGTGTGGTGATGTGGTTATACAGCTGTTTAGGATTAACAGCAGTTTTAATAAAACATATATCAATAGTAAATATTAATTAATGAGTAATACAACAAAGGCCCATGCATGGACTGGACCTAGGTCCCCAACACAGATGTAGCAAATGGGCAGGTCAGGCTTCATGTGGTTTCCCTAGTAAGAGGACCAGGGGCTACCTCTGACATGGACTTGGTATCTTGCTTTTTTGAGCACTCCCCGCTGGCAGAGCTGACTTGCCAGGCCACAGGGGAAGAGGATATGCTCAGTCTTGATGCAACTTGGTAAGCTTGGATCGTTTTGTAAGGCAAGGGGCTCCCCTTTTCGGAAGAATAGAGGAGGATATGTGGGAAGAGTGAGGGTGTGTGGGACTGGGAGGAGAGGGAGGAGTGGGCTATGGTCAGAATGTAAAGTGAACAAATAAATAAATTTAAAAGAAAATCATACTTATCAAGTTTAAATTCAAAGCATCATGATTTTCATAGAAATATTTTAAATATGCAAACTAATTTGGATAAAAATTAACATGTTTTGGTTGTTCCCAACCTCTCCATTGAATTCATCTTCTTTTAATTTTATTATCATTTTATAGTTTTTCCCACATGTAACTTCCACCTTTTAGTCACACAGCAAAATTTTCTGCTTCTTCCCCCATCCCCCACTTTCTCCTAGAGACATTAACAGTATGTGTCTGATAACCAGCCTTTATCAGGCAGTGGAATTTTCAAAGTTAGATGTGAGCAAGAGATGTAATTTTATCAAGGACAACCAGAAATGTGAGTTTTCCCTCTTTTTTACGGCCTTTTAAAAACTAGCATCCCATTTCCTTGAGCCTAAACGTCTCATGACAGCCAGTGGTCATTAGCTTTGCAGATGCTTTCAGAAACTGCTGTCTTCGGGCTGCATTTCTCAAGGCGGATATGAGGACACAATCAGACTTAATGGACAGTGACCCAACCAGGAGAGTGTTTCAGTAGCATGATTTAGTCTCATCATATTAACACTATCTTCTGACTTTTTATTGTTGTAAATGTGGCCTCAGTGTTACTATCATTATCGCTGCATGATGTAATAAAGCAATTACTCATAGTTAACAGGAATAAGGAGTGTGTGAATTAATCCCTTTGAAAGCAGAAGTCTTTAATACCACTTAGTGGAATTTTCATTTTATTTAATAATATTTATATTTTTATGAATGATGTTAAAGTCTAGTAAGTATTCAATATAGCCTTGTCATACAGCTAAGACTTAGATCTAAGATTCTTTGTATGTGAAAATCATTTGCATTTCCAAACACAATTTAGAGTGAGCTTGATGTTTCTACAGCAAAACTGAGATGAATGAAGCCTGCTGAGATTTTGCATCCAAATTTATATGCAGAAAGTCGATAGTAAAGTTGTCTCCAAAGAGGACTCTCCCCTTGTTGGGTGGACTTGATGAAGGCTGACCTCCAGTCAATCATGAGCTGATGTTGGTGACAGCCTATCAGCTCTCTGTTTTCCAATGGCTGTAAGCTCTGAGGTTATGTCCATTCTAGGTCCTTGTATTTGTCAACTAGATGTCACTGTGACAAAAATTCCTGATATGAACTGTGCAAGGAGAGGCAAGTCACTTTTGTTCATGATCTCGGGTTTCAGCCCAGGGTTGGCTGCCTCCACTGCTATGGGCCTGAGGATGGCAATGGCTGTGGCCGAATCATGCGATGGAGCAGATCCAGTTGTCTCACGACAAAAGTTTGTCATTACTACATCCTGCAGCCAGGAAGCAGAAAAACAGAAATGGGTTAGAGACACAATATAATTCTAAATGTCCTTCCCCATCTCTCCATGATGTACTTCTTGAAACGAATCTATGACCATTTCCCATTCAGATATAAGTGTGTCACGTCAGCAATCTATTAATGAAGAAGTTTCATGATCAAATAACCTCTTCACCTCTCAGAATGCTGTCAGCAGACAATCAAGGCTGTGTCATACACAAGCCTTGGGAATCATAATGGGAATCATAACACATCCAGAAGGACATTGTCTCCAAAACATTAAGGGAAGGCAGCCCTATTCCCAAACCAGACTTCATCAGCAAATAGAGAAAAGATGCTTACTTATAGATGGGCCTGTCTCAGCAGCTTCACAAAATTGCCAAACCCTATGGCTTTTTATTTTCAAAGCATAGTCCTATGATCTGAACCTAGACCCAAGGGTCAGTCTCTTCTCAGGACTGTCAGATACTCTTAGAAACATAATTTCCAGTTCACACATTGAATGAAAGGAATCTTCATCCACACAGAATCCTACCTCAGCTATTCTTTCGCCCACAGGCTCTCCTTTCTTCTAATCTTCTGTCTGTGTGAGGAGTTCCTCGGTCTCTGACTTACACGCCAGAGGTAACAGTTTGTCACCACTACATCCTGCATCCTGTTCAAAACTAGAACTTAGTGTAGCAATTTGGAATTAAGTATTTGGTGTTTTCCAGAACTGTGTTATGTTAGGTGCCATTTAAAAACATTTTCACTATTTGAGGTGAATATGAAGAAGATTATCAAAATTACATAATTCAGTGGTACTTTCAACATCAGCAGAATAGAGAAGCTCATAGTTCTCTAGTTTATGCTATTCCATGGCTCATTTTATTTAAGTCTTCATTCTTTTACTCGTAACTAACCAGTAATTATTTTATTGGCTTAAATATATAAATCCTTTTTATCTACTTTCAATTCTGATTTCATTTCTGAATTTTATTATATGCCTTTACTTAATACCTTTAATGTTGTCTTAGGTATTTTCTGCTTCTATAAATGGATACTACTGTATTAGTTATTTTGCTTGTTTCCATTACAAAATACCTGACAAAAGCCATGTAGGGAAGGAAGCGTTTAATTGGGTCATGCTTTAGGAGTACAGTTCCTCATGGTGGGAAAGAAAGGGATAGCTGTTCACATTGTGTCTACACTAAGGAAGCAGACAGCAGTGAATGTTAGCACTCAGCTCACCTTCTTTTTTTTCAGACCAGGACGACGGCCCATTGAATCATGCTACATCTTCTGCTCCAATTAACTCAATATAGAACCTCCCTCACAACTACACACAGGGGTGTCTCTTCTAGACGATTCTATACCCTGTCGATTAATGATATTAACTACCACAAGTCTACCCTTGGTCAAACAAACATATCACCATTCTTCAAGAGCCTGCAGAACAGTGATGTCCCAGGTAAGCAAATGTCTTCCCCAGGAGGAGAGTATGTATGTATGTATGTATGTATGTATGTATGTATGTATGTATGTA